GGGACCTTTGGATCTGTAGCCAGGAACTCTGACCACTAGACCACAGAGTGGATCAGCCAAGGTAATGGTAATTACGATTAACTAGTTCCACAATGAAGAGTCCTTCTGTGAAGTTAACAGTAACTCACACTCTTCTGAGAACCAAAAGTTTCACTATAAATGGGCCCCAACCTAAGCCAGATGAATCATGTTTATATCTTCACACCCTCCTTCTCTAAGATATATTTTAATATATTCTCTAATGTACACCTTAATCTATGACCCCTCTTTGATGACCACACTAGATATTATAAAGCTCTGTAATGAAATGCTCAGGTCCTTTGTTCTTGCAGCTTAATACAAAGCTACCGTATCAGCCTAATGACAACAAAGGCAAAGATGATGGTAGTACAGATGGAGCACTGAATGGATGATGATTGGCATGGGAAAATTTAAGTACTCAGAGAAAAACCAGCTGCACTGCTATTATGTTCAGCACAAATCCTAATGGTCCATCCGAAGACTGAGAACCTCTTTGGTTAAGAGCTAACATCTAACTATTTGAGCCATGACACTGCCTAGTGTCACAGGAAAGTTCACTGGCTAGAGATTTTTACCATATTCCTCTTAATTATTATGTTTTATATTATTCCAATGATTTATCTTTCAACACACATTAGTAGCACTCTCAAAGGCATATTTGCAATTCTTAATTTAGTGTTACACCAAATAATCCAGGATGACCCATTCATATTTGGGCATATGGAACATATACATTGTTACAAAACTCCTTCAGAGTTTGGTACTACCCCTGAAGTTGGATATGCCAGCCTAGGATTCCTCCAATGAAAATATTATAAAAACAGACGAAGCATTCCACAAAACTCTTTTATTTTAAGACATGAAATCATGTAATAAAATGGAACAGTTCGAAGATATGCCGGTATACCTATGAATCACTCAAGAAATTTCTCCAGATGGGCAACCACAAAGTATTCACAGGATGTGTCACAAAAAATTTAAATAATGCCACCATTCATTCAAATATATCACAAATTTGTATTTCAATTTGAGCATTTCATGTATACAGTAGCACTATTTATACAACTAGAAACCCTTACCCTTACACTCAATATATAAAAAACATTGTTTCTGTAATACGGTATATATACCCCATACCCTGCTGCATGGCCATTCTTCTACAGAATGAAACTGTCATCATTGCTGTTGTGTAACATGACGACCCCTACTGAATGACAGTTAGTTGTACTGCAAACCACATTTTTCCCACCTGTCACATGCACATGTGCACACACACATACACAAATATGAAATCTGATAATTTCATTACTCATTCACCAGTAATAATAAGCTTGTCATCATTGATAGCCATTTGTGATTAAGAAATCATTTGTTATAATCAACATAATTTTTTGCTTCTCTGAAAATAAACAATAAAATATCATTAACAGAAAATACCCTGCCTACACATACATGCATAAAGCTGTGCTAACCATAAGCAGTAAGTCACATTTGATGTTCTCATGGCAGTGCATATTAAGGTCTTCTGGAATACGTTGTTGTATTCACCTGTGCATAGGTACATGGCATCACATCCCATGATTCAGATTATTAAGATCTGTCACAGTCTTGTATGTACGAAGTGATGTGCCATTACTTGGCTCTGGACTTACAGAAGAAATTATGCTGTAACATTAATTCTTACGGAGGATGTCTGACTATTAGTAATAATCTTATTGCCCTGGACTAACACTATTCACATCATTACTGTGAAGTCTGAACTATTCACCAGAATAGTGAAACTAAATATCTAAACATTCAAATAAAAAAAAAACAATGAACTTCATTGTACACAATCTTTCATCCTTAAAAATAACCCAAATTTTTCTCATGTCCATGGTGTCTAGCATTCTAACAAGTCGAAACACTGATCAACAGTACGTAACATAATACTATGAACTAAAAGTAAAGCAAATTATTTTAAAATAAACGTTTGTGTGGCAGCAAAAACTCCTAATTATTACTGAAATTAAAAATAGGAGGTAATAATATAAAAAAAATAATGCTTGATCAGGGTCAACCACAAAGCAGAGAGAAAGTTAGAAATCTTAAATTCATGACCATTCATTCATCAATGGCTGTACAGCCCTCTGTTCAGTCCTGGCCACTTTTTCAGTTTCGTAATTCTATGCACAGTTGGTAGGACTCCTTGGATGGGGGATAAGCCCATCAGAAGGCAACTACCTACACACAGGACAACAAAAACACAAAATAAATGCACACAGACAGCCATGCCTTGAGTGGGATTCAAACTCACAAACCCAGTATTTGAGGAGGTGAAGACAGTTCATGCCTTAGACCATGCAGCCACTGTGATCTACTTAAGTTCATGAACACAGTAAGTAAAAAGTAAAAAAGTAAAGCTATCCCTGTACCAGGCCGTTAAGGCCCGTAGGGTTGTGAGACGTTGAGGGTCCCACATTATCTAGACAATCGGCTCAAAGATGGCGGTAAGATTGTCAGCCTTATGCGCTGGCCGCGATTTACTCCCCAGGAAAATTATTGAATTAATTCATGAACACAGTAGTGAAATTTACACTTACAGTCACAGAAGGTATAACACTTGTCACTGGAGACCAGAAATGTGATGACTGATGCCCACAGACTTATGCAGTTGCATACCAAGCCAGACATACAGACATAAAGATTCTACAGATTAACATGGGCACTGTCAAAAGTTCAGATTATAAGTGAAATAATGGGTGAGTGAATGATCAATTGACAAAAAGAGACTGAAAAAACCAGTTGCTACAAAACCTCATAGAGCATTAAATTGAAAGTTCTACAATTCTAACATCACATTTTGATCAATGGTTGAAGCTAGCTTATATCATCTGAGCAAATGTTAAAAGAAACTGGCTACTAATTTGGTTCTGAGGGAAAAAAGAAAAAACAATGCAATTAACTAACTGAAGTTATTGAAACCAGAAATACCAATATCAACCTACAAAGACTAATAAAGGCAATAAAGCTGACTTAAAGACCAAGGGTCATCATAAAATGAGTTACATGAAAAACAAACTGAGTACATGAATTGCATTGTCTTAATATGGATCCATATTTTACAGCATGTTATTATTATAGTGCATACATCTTTGGAAAATGTAAAATAATTATACATAAAATCCTGGTGATAAACAGTTTTTGTCCTAAAGTAATAGGCTCTAATTATTTTAATTTTAGACACCCCATACATTGTGTAAGATTTGAGGCTTTCACGGCGGTGACTATGAAGAAAGCAGTCTTCTGGGATTTGGCACCGTGTATATGTGGTGTTAACCGACGTTTCGGAGGAACGTATCGCCCCCATCTTCAGGGTAGAAGAAAAAGTATAAGAAATCTGCAAGCGACAACACCGTGAGAAACGGTAAAGCAGACTGTGTTGTCACGGTGTTGTCGCTTGCAGATTTCTTATACTTTTTCTTCTACCCTGAAGATGGGGGCGATACGTTCCTCCGAAACGTCGGTTAACACCACATATACACGGTGCCAAATCCCAGAAGACTGCTTTCTTCACCCCATACATTCACTAGATATTTTGTCCACACTATATTAAGACAGAAATGGTGTATTAGACAGACTGTAAGATCTTAGAATTCAATTCATAATTTACCTTACAGCCAATCTGACACTCACGAACAATCTAGTGCATACAAGATCATTTAGTAACACAAGGTTCCATTGGTTGAGAACTGCATTCTCACATTTAACATCATCAGGCAGTTGGATGTCAAGTATTACACCCATGGGACATGAGGCATGTTTAATTCATTATGGGATAATTTTATGCATGATAAATGGATATTACATCAAATCCAGATCCATACCAGTTTAGCTACAAGATGTGTAGCAACACAAATGGTTACAAGATGCACCTAAGGATGAGTTTGACTGAACTCTGTACTCTGTACATCACAAGAAGGGTTGTCATCAGACTAGGTGACGCCCTAGGCAGAAGAGATGGGAACAGACTGTAGGATGTGACCATTCTCTATTTGAGCTGTCCAAAAGATATGAAAAACAAATGATATTACTAAACTGTAAACCATCATTCCAATAAACGTAAATTATGAAGTATGAAGTATGAAATGCCTAGATTGCCCCAAGGAATATATAGGACAAACCGGGAGGAAATTTAATACCAGATATAAAGAACACATACATGACATAAGACACAATAACAGCAATACAGGATACTCAGAACATATATTAAACACAGGACATGCATATGGCACTATAGAAAACACTATGGATATCATAGCAATAGGTAGGAAGGGGCAGTACTTGAACACATTAGAGAACTACCATATATATAGAACGACAAAGAAAAACACACACATGAATAACATAAACAAAGAAATATATAACCCAATATACCACGAATTAAACACTATCTACACAGAACAACATAACAACACCCCACCCCCTACCCCCACCACATCTACGCCAACAACATCATAACTCACTCAAAACGAAGACAGAACACACACACACACACATACCCAGCAGACCCAACAGCATAACGCACGCAGTCGCGAGAACAAGACGCAACAGAAACACAGTGAGTATTATTAAAAGTTATAATACCACAAGTAATAGATAAAATACGGAACACAGTATTAATGAATACAAATTCACGTTGCAGATATACACGATAGGGAAGAAGAGCTCCAACAGAGTAGGATGAACAGGACTGGCGTAATAAGATACGACGTAGCGATCGGGAACCCTGGACAGTTTTAATATTTTTACGATTGACATTTGTCAATATATATGATGGACATATATTTTAGTTATTTTAAAGTGAAGACAAGGCATACAATGTACTAGTTTGACGTGAATTGAGTAGCACCTGAAGATGGCATTCTTATGCCGAAACATGTAGTGAAAGTGAAAGAAGAAGATAGATAAGTGTATGCACTGCAAGACGGAATAAACAAATCATGAACGTAAATTATTCTGTCTACTGGCTTCAATACTCCCTCGCTTACTGCTCTGTTTGATGTGTTGGGATACAGCATGGGTGATCTGATAAATACCACTAACCACACTGGAAATAATTTCCCCATACTATTTCAAAAAGAGCCTGTGCATATCTCACTTCACCATATGTCACTGTCAGTAACGACAAGAAGAGTCATATGAAAATTTAAATTAACTGCTGCAACTATTTCTTATGTGCCACATCCTATGCAATATATAACTCTCATGCATGAAGTCTGTAAACTGTAATATTACAATCTTTTGAGATATAATGCTGTTGAAACTGGTTCACAGTAACAATGTTTCACATGAACCTGCTGCCTATATCTTATAAAACTTTTTCTACCCTGACAATGGAAGACAGCAGGTTCCTCCATACGTGATACCTACCTACCACATTACATATGTGACTGTCCAGAAGACTATACCTTAATATTCACTGCAGTGATAACCTCAAATCTGATATCTGTAAACCTTTTAATAACATTCTCTCACATTGTATCCAAATAATGAAAATTAAGTGTGTACATACACAGAAGTGAACTGCAATTTCATACATACACGACAACATTCAGTTTCATGGTTCCTAGAATATGACACTGTGAAAATGTGATGGGCATCAGATGTTCAAAACATGGGCTCAAACAAGCAGCATGAAACTGATGGATCGATGGAAGACCACAGCAAGCTTTACAGCCATCCAGATGGGAATAACACTGAAGTGTACAATGCTGGTCCATTAAACAAGGCAAGATTGGCACAAGAGTTAACTTTGAGGGCACTGAAATAAAACAATTTATAAAAATTTACCAGGAAATCACACTTCATATATCACCTACTCACTAAATGTAAATTATGAATCTCTGATTGTTTAATGAAGCTGCGTCAACAGTTTAGGTTGTATAGTACTGAATCAACAAAAAGAGGGTGATTATAAAAGATAACTTGTAAGAGTTGTGGTTGGAAGCTATCATGGCTCTTGTTTGAAGTACAATCCCAGCATTTGATGGAAGGACGGCTAAAATGCATTTTCAGTAGCTCATATTATAGAGTGCTGAATGGCAAGATGATCAGTGAAGAATGAATTCTGAAGTATGTGGAGGGAAGCAATCTTGGTATAATTTGAGGTACTAACTTGAAATCTGACTGAAGGCACTGACACACCCTGTCTCTAGGCTCGTGAAGGGTATGAAGCTCTTTAGCATGCAATTTTCTCTAGTCTCCTCCTACTTCCACTTTCTTAGATCTACATACCTCTTCAACATCTGATTCTTACACACCCTCAATCTATGCCCTTCCCTTAAAGCAGATCAAGTTTTTTCACTCATACATAGGTGAGTCAAATGCAAACTGTAAAACTGAGATAAAAATTTGAAATATCATGCCATTGTCCTATAAGTTGGCAGACATGTTACCAAGGCTATAAAGAATATCCTATAGGTGGCAGTACTATGCAGACAAACAGAACGCCATCACAGTGCCAGTTTGAAGATGGCTGCTACATTACATGCATGCATGAAAGAAGAACAACGTTCTGTAATTTCTTTTTTGATCAGTGAAGGTGTGAAACCAACTGAAGTTCATTGACAAATGAAGGTTTAGTATGGTGATGCATGCTTGTCACAGCAGCAAGTGTACGAGTGGAGTAGGAAATTCAGAAATGGTGTCACATCTGTGGCAGACGATCCTCGCCTGGGTCAGGCTCACAAAGTCGTGATGCCTGAGTCTATTGCAGCGGTTGAAGCCCTAGTGATGGAGAATCGCCGAATGTCGGTGGATGAAATAGCCAAAATTCTTAACATGAGTCTTGGATCAGCACACCATTTCATTCATGATGTGTTCCAGTTTCACAAATTGTCTGCAAGGTGGGTGCCACAGCAGTTTACTCCAGAATTGAAACGACGTGTTGATGCCTGTGAAGAACTTCTGCGGGATCTTGAAGCAGAAGGCAATGGCTTCCTTTTGAGAATCGTTACTGGCGATGAAACTTGGGTGCACTACCACCAACCAGAAACAAAGAGAACGAGCAAGGAATGGTGTCATTCCTCATCACCTAAACCCAAGAAGTTCCGGACACAGCTATCTGCTGGGAAGAATATGCTGACTCTCTTTTGGGACGAACGAAGCGTACTCTTGGAGCACTACACGCCTCAGGGGAACACTATCACCAGTGCCTCATATTCACATCTCTTGAAGAACCATCTTCGACCTGCAGTCAGATCAAAGCAACGTGGACTTTTGACTAGAGGTGTCCTTTTGCAACATGACAATGCAAGGCCCCATACTGCCCGTGCAACAGTCGCAACAATCCAAGACTTGCACCTTGAGTGCCTTCCACATCCGGCATACTCACCAGACCTAGCACCAAGTGATTTCCACATGTTTGGGCCATTCAAAGAAGCAATGGGAGGAAAGAAGTTCTGTTCTGATGAAGAGGTACAGCAGGTGGCGCATGAGTGGTTGTGCAGACAACCACAAGATTTTGTTTCTAGAGGAATCCATACACTTTGTAAACGCTGGAGGACCTGAATTGAACGAAATGGAGACTATGTAGGAAAATGATATAGTTGTGTACCGCTTTCATTCAATAAATTAAATTAAAATTTGTTTACTGTTTTCATTTGACTCACCCACATACAAAGCAACATGTAAAATTATACCTGCGAGAATCTTAAAAGTCTGTGTCTTTTGAGAGGATGTCGGAAGACATAAAGATTATAAGTGGATGGTTGCAAACCTTCCAAATATAAATGCACTCTTAAATTTTTCATGAACGTAGTTTTGATTCATTGTTGTCATCCGAAACATAAAAAATCAATATAAGGCATGCTATTACTACAAGGTACAGAAATAAAACTTATATTTGCATAAGACCTAAAAGTAACACTTTTAAATCTGTGTAATAAGCTAAAATATCAAACAGACCAGTATAAGAGCACCCTTAGTCCTTTAGTACTGTGTCATACAAGTCAGTTCTTCTCTGTCTGAACACTGGAATCTGCTGCCTCACTTCATCCACTACTTTCAAGTCTGAAATACAAACACATAAATAACAGATATAATGCAGTTAGTATAATACAGAAGACTGTGATTTGGTGAATACAAGATGTGAAGTTTAACAAACATAAACATTGACACATGTTTAGTGACGGGACATAAACTTTGGCTTCTTAACCTTTACTGGATGAACGTCATCATATGATGTCGTTAAAAGTTAGGGCAGCTGGCTGAACGTCATCATATTATGTCGCGGATTCCACGTGTGTAAGGTTTTTTTTTAATTAAATTAAAAATATAAATTGTTGTTCTATTTACATGATTTTTGATCACAACCTTTATAAGGTGACAGCCTTCCCTCCTGCTTGATCTAATGTAATCTACCAACGTCATATGGCCGAACGACCTCATATGATTTCGCGCACTGCACGCGTGTAAAGATTTCTTTAAAATTAAATTTAAAACTAAATTTTTGCTCTACTTATGTGATATATGTTCACCATCTTCATGAGGAAACAGCCTTCGCTCCTGCGTCATCTATGGTAATGTGGCCTTCGTATGGTACTGCCGAAAACATTCCGAAATGCAGAGTCCGACGTCGCAGCTCACGCACTTCATACGAACGCTAGACCGCTTCCCACGCGAAGAGCACACACGACACCTCAGTTGCGATTTAGAGGAAGCAGGCCAGTGATGTCGAGCTACAGTGATATTTATCCCTGCAGCTACACGGGAATAATTATTCACACCTCTCCAGCCACACTGGTCTGGCGGTCCCCAAGTTGCCGACGAAGGTGATGACCCTTCGTCCGCGGAATCAGAACTCCAACTTTCCTCGCCACTCTCAGAATCGGTTGAATAGCAGTCCAAATCTGTGTCATTGAACAGCTGTTTCTCAATTTCAGCATCAGAACTCCAACTTTCCTCGCCACTCTCAGAATCGGTTGAATAGCAGTCTGAATCTGTGTCATTGAACAGCTGTTTCTCAATTTCAGCATCTTCCATATGACGTCGTCGTTTGGCCATGGTGAACTATACGGCTCTCTAGCAGTGAATCTCTGTGCTTAGACCACGATAAGAAGCCATAAATCATGACCTCAAGACCACACATACAAAAATCTCATTCACGCCTTCGCTGAACTGAATATCTGCTTCAAAGTTGGTACATGATGTCATGGCTGGCTAACCTTATATTGCGATGTTTCAAAATCGTTACAAACACAATGGTTTGACTGCAATGAATGAACAAATGACCAATCTGGCAACACCATATTCCGAGAATTAACTCCTGTGTCTATCTAACACATTACACAGCAACATGCATACCGACATGTCCCATACGATAAATAAGCTTCAACAAGAGACACCATTGAATGTGAAGTCACCACAAGGACTTACACTGCTAAAACGCATGGTGCAGAAAATGTATGAATTTTGGGAAATTTTTTTGGGGGAATCAGTGTAAAAATTTTTTACAGATATTAAAATCTGTAAATTAGAATATCTGATTCTATATTCTTTCTACATTAAAGGAGCGTTCATTTCATTCGTTTATCATAAAAAATGTAGAAATCACACCATTTTTAGAAACATGCTTACAATTTCATTGCTCTAGAAGGGCGGGCATTTAAATAAACTCCGTCCAGCTGCCCCTACCGGAAATTAAATGGCCCGTCCGATAAAGGTTAATTAGCTTTACTGGAGTCTTATGTCATTGCTAATTTACACACTCTGCAAGTCACTAGAGCACATAGTAAGTCTTCTATGCCTCCTGTCTCTTCACTAGTCATTGCCTGGTAATGTGTCTCAACAATGTCCTCTGATTCCAGTGTTACTAGCTGCCGAATATCCTGCATCTGACCCATGCTCCATGTGTGTTTTCTTCACCTTTTTAACTTCTGAAAGCTCCGATTAATCTGTTACACAGCCTTGGCATGGATTGTGTAGATAAAAACACTTTCAACAGCTCCTGTATTGTTGTTTATCTGCCTCCTCCGGCTTTTGGCTCCCAATTTATTAAAAAACGGATTTATTTTGCAAATAATGAAATTCCATCAGGCAGAATGGTTGCAGATTATGAAATGCAGAAGGGGTTTCAAATTTCTCAATCGGTGACCTTACAAAAACATTGGCCTTGGGTGAAGTAATCATGAGATATGAGGGAAGATATGCTTTCCAGCATCAAGTCCAAAAAAAAAGAGTATAAAATACTGTCCTGTGTTTCCTAGGTAATGCAGCAAGAAATTCTTTTGGATCAGATGACGAAGTTTATTGGACAATCACTTTTTACTCTCACTAATACAATCACTTGGACTTATAATGCCTTCAGACATACCCTCAACTGTTATACACTCTTTCACTGCTGTTCTCAGTGGAGCACCTTCGTTCTTTGCTTTTCTTGGTTTGTTGTTATCTGCGCTCAATTCCGACCTGGTCTTCTCTTATACCCTACTGTTGGACGGGCTAGAAGTCGCCTTGTTCAAGTGTTCCGTTTCACATGTTCTATCTGCCAGTGGTAGTCTTTTCTGTCATAGCGGGAACTTTACTAGTTACCTTGCTTAGGTTTGCTAGCTGTTGCATAGCAATGGGTGTGTTCTGATTCAAAATATTCCAGCCCTAGGCAGCACGCCACAATACCATACCATTACAGAAGCTTCAAAAAAGCAGATGAAATATTACACGCCAGTTTATCTAGGGAATGCAAATACTGCAGGTGCATTACATAAGGAACACTATTCTAGCTAATACTTCAGGTGTAAATATGCTGGGTCAAGGCCCTTGAAGTACTAAAGGAAGGCATTATATACAAGATTAATGCAGAGCTCAGTCTTGGAAAAAAAGCGGGGGCAGTGTACATTATCATCAACAAGCAAAAACCCTATGCAGTAAATGAATAACAAAGCAAAGAACAAATGAATACATCATACACTGAAGGTTGTGAAAGAAATTGTACCACAGCACATAGCAACAGTCAGACTAGAGATCAGCTATCACTACTGAGGTTATCATGGTTTCCTTCTGCCCCTCCACGCAAATGATGCTACAGTAACAAAAATCACATTAAGGTTGTTTCCTTCCAGATCCTTCCCAATTCATTATTTCATAACGATCTTCTAATCGGTCACCATATATTTTGAGATAACAGCTACAGTGACTTCCCAAAAAAACATATATCGAATGATAGAAGGGCTATTCTTTAAACCCTGTCTGCAGCTCAGTGTGTCTAACAGAGGCAGATTTCCCTTTTTAGAACCTGTGAGCAAGCTCAGTTTGCCTGGCAGTTCCTTCTTTCAGAAACCTGACAGCAAGCTTAATCCGTATGCACAGCTCCTACTTCTTCAGAACTCTTTTTTATCACCGAACTGTGCGTGTCTGTCAGAGTTTCTTCTTCAGAACTCCTTAAGAAAGACTGGTGTGGCCAGCAGAGTTCCTCCTTCTTCAGAAGTCTTATCACCGAACTATACGTGTCTGTCAGAGTTTCTTCTTTAGAACTCCTTAAGAAAGCTTGGTGTGTGCAGCAGAGTTCCTCCTTCTTCAGAACTCCTTTTTATCACCAAACTATATGTGTCTGTCAAGAGTTTCTACTTTAGAACTCCTCAAGGAAGCTTGGTGTGTCCAGTAGAGTTCCTCCTTCTTCAGAACTCCTTTTTATCACCCAGCCATATGTGTCTGTCAGAGTTTCTACTTTAGAACTCCTCAAGAAAGCTCGGTGTGTCCAGTAGAGTTCCTCCTTCTTCAGAACTCTACCACCAATATTGTGTCTGTCAGAGTTCTTTCTTCATAACTCTATCAGTAAGCTCAGTGTGTCTGTCCATCCTGTGACTAAACTACAGACCTCAGTATTAAAGACTGAGATGGAGAAATTATGCTAAATAATGTTTTGTCCAAGCTAGAAGCCTAATATGGTTGAATTATTGCAACATATTTAACTTGGTTCCCTTTCCAACATACATTTTATGGTTAAAATGCAAGAGGTTACAATACGACAATAATTTCTGACAATATGCAATTAATATGTTTCAACTGTGATTTCAAGACATAAAATACCAATTGAACAGCTAAACACATTTCAAAGAATAACTGCACTTAAAGTAGTTCAAATTCAACATTTCTATATATTACTCACCGATATCAGCATATACTATCCCCTCATCAAATTCTGTCTTGGCAATCACTTTTCCCCAAGGATCCACCACCTGTGAATGCCCCCAAGATACATAATCTGCATTCTTATCTTGAGCAGGAGCAATGGTTGCAACGAATACCTGGTTCTCTACTGCTCTTGCTCGCTGTAGCAACTCCCAATGCAATGGACCTGTTGTCATGTTGAATGCTCCCGGATATAACAGGAGATCACACTCTTAAAAAAAAAGTAAATTATTAAGAAAGTTGGATCCGTCTGCTGAGAATAATGCAGACAAGTTACTGACATATCTCTTTGGTGCTGTACCCCAGCTTACTATGTGGACAGGGTCACAGAAGTGACATTTGCAGAAGAATATTTGTGTGTACTCATAGTTAGTTAGTTAGTTACTTAGTTACTTGTAGAGGGTGGGTTTCTCCATGCACTTAGACCTGTAGTGGTCCATTCTGCTTCCCTCTATGATTTCTACCAGTCTCTATATCCTACCGGTACTGGTGCTTACCATCAGTCCCGCCCAGCCAGCGAGACCGGCTCTACTGGCTGAGAAGTATCTATAATGCTTCCCCCATCTACCGGAGGTATTAGAGACTGCTGTTGGGCGGCAAACGTCCGCAAATTTGGCTCAGTGACTGTGTGTACTCATAAGTTTATCCATTAACAACTTCTATACATCTACTGGTTAAATTTTCATTCAACTTTATATTAATATCATAAATACCATTATTTCAAAATTGTATCTGCATGTCATAAACAGTATAAAAAGACAGTGTCATGTAACTTCGAACAAGGCCCCGCATTCCTAGTCAAATCCCATGCATAGCTTGTGGTGGGAGGAGTTTCTTAACACTCGTTCTTCCCTTGAACCCACCCCCTTGTCTGAAATTTTTCTTCTGCGCATTCAAGGTTACTCTTGACCTTGTTCGAAGTTATGTGACACTTGCTATAACATGAGAGCCAAGTGATATGCTGAGGCACCAAAACACTAGAACAATTTTAAGCATGGTCCGTAACTCTTGTATAGCTACAGACTTCAACAGATTTTATAAAATCACGAACCTGAGTGACCTTAAATGGGGTTTGGATTGGTAATAAAATTTATTGGATTCTTACAGATCATAACTATAATTAACTGTAAGTTTCATGGATCTACACACTCAACAAATCACTATAGCATGAAATAAGTCTTCTCACATACACAACACACAATGCGTAAGAAACATCCGACCATAAGCCTACACAACCTCAAGTTGACATTTCCCATCATCGGGACGAATCAACAAGAAGGAGCCGAACATTTTACTTTAAATGTTTTAAACTTTTAAATATTTTAACATTGACGGCTCAATTTGAGGGCAGTTTTCAGATGGAATGCAAGAGTTGTACGTGCAATCAATGCTACTAGAAAGTGTTGTGCTTTTACACTTCGACATCTGTAACAGCGTCCACGCAGCTTACATACTGCGTACATTAAACAATGCCAGTGTTTTCATGTGTTTGTAATACGTGCCTCTGATGATGGTTTTTCTTGAACCGAAACATGTAAGGCAAGTGAGATAAATAAGTGACCTAAAAACATTGTTACACTCGACGGATTTTTCATTGACAATTTGTGATTGATAGTGTAACGGACCAAAAATGAAACAATTCAAAATGGCTGACTTGTGTTTCACTTCCCCAGATACAGCCTATGCGCAGACCACAGAGACACAACTTCCTGAAATTCCTTCCCAGGAAATTTGGTAAAAATGGGACAAAATAAAAACTAATAAAAAATATAACAACCATGGGCACTAAATTTTTGTCCAGGTGGTTAGATGAGTCAACCAATACAGAAATGAAATGAGCTTCTCTTAGCTCTTTAAGTATCTGTTTTGTTGCAAATGGTGCAATAACATTGGTGATTACTACTCTGCATTGTTTCTGAATATGTAAATTTATCGTTGAAGTTTCCTTATGACAGTGGTTGTGCAGCCCATGGATTTGAAGCTGTGGTTATGCACTGCAGTGTGATATGCAAAGGCTGCTAGTGATAACTGCTTTACCATTTCACAAATATTCTTCATACTTAAGTAGTTTCTTTTATTAGTGGGGTGGTACTAAGTCCCTTGCACTGCGGCCACTTCTGGCTTATTGTACCAACCCCAGATGATAGGTGAGAGTGACTGTGCAGCAATTGGTGGGATGAAGATTGGCAGGGGAAACTGAAATACTTGTAGAAAACCCGCCCCAGTGCCACTTTGTCCACCTCAAATCCCACTTGACCAGACCCGGGATCAATCCCGGGCCACTGCAGTGGGAAGCCAGCAACTAATCGCTTCAGCTATGGCACGGACGTTAGAAAAAAAACCCTAAATAATGTAGTCTGGATATTCTTTATTCAAGCTTGCAATGAAATTCTTGAATGATGATTACTGGATTTTTATAGATGATACAGCACATGCAAATAAATATACTGTACCCTGTATTGTCGGAGCCTATGATTTTCTTACATGGAGGTTTCTGTTATAGAGAATTCACTGTGAAGAGCTTTTACTCTCTAAGCAGTTGCAATTGTCTCATTCTTAAAAATTCAGGGCCAAGGTATGAGGGAAGATGACTTGTTCTGTATCCAAAGGTACTAACCTGCTTAGGATTTATGGAATGTAAATAAATTCAATTCAATTCAATTCAATAAAACTCTGGGACCACTTTCTCCTTTTGTCTCTGCTTCACTCTTTCCTTTTTTCTTTGTGCTAAGTCACACCTATAAGACAAGTTGAAGGATAATTAAAGTTATTCACACTAAATACACATGCATACTCACCTTCCTTTCTATAAATTTGAGCCATCTCACCAAATCTCATATCATAACAGATTCCAATACCAATTTTACAAATATCAGTATTAAAGACTGTCAATCTTTTCCCAGCAGTCAAAGTCTCAGACTCCTTGAAACATATCCCACCTGGGATGTCAATATCAAATAAATGAACCTGCAACAGTATGCAAACAGCATACATTCTACTTATGCTCACCTGTATGACAGAACAAAGGTTCTCACTTGCCCAAATGAAATACCATACATCAGTAAAATCTTACATTCGGTTAAAAGAGGCTCACTAATGTGAACTATTAAAATAAATGTTCAATTAATTAATGATAGTTCAGAATTCAAAATTTCTTTCTTGCATCCTGCAGAGCTCTATGTAAAATAAATGATATACTCATTAAAAATAACAATACTATCAATACATCCTTTACATTTATTCTACAATATGGCTACCTATTTCAGCAACTCTGCTATTTAAGGAACTCCCTCCATGTTTAAATGAAAATGCACCATTATCAAGCCAAATTACCCCACAAGAGTATTGAGAATGGATCTGTGAGAACTCATACAATATACTTAACGTGGACAGAAGATTAATTCCCTTCAAAACAGGTTCCTTCAGCATGTAAATATATCTCACTGTTCATTCCAATACTGACAGTACCTCTCAAATTCAATTTCTGGAACTGTCAACAGCTGCTCCATCAGAATTTGTTCAAATGTCTCCACAGCATCCAATTTTTGCCTTTCAAGAGGTGAGGTTAAAGAAAAAACTCAAAAGGAGCCACATCCAGTGAGTATACAATTTGAAGTTACTGTCAAATCACATACAAGATAAAACTTCATAATGTGACATGATGCCTGAAAGCTGGAATAGTGGAGCCAGAGTATGTTCTTTACTAGGTAACGGCTTGGTAAACATGCACCCACGCCAACGATTACACAAGTAACAATCCCGGTACTGTTGGATTATAATGATGGAAACTGTATTTTCTGATGGGTCTGCCCTAAGGCTATATAACAAGGATCCCAGGCCAGCTGAAATAATAATCAAGTCCTTGAGATGAGAGATAACTGAGAAGAGATGGCTATGAGTTAGTTCAGTTGCAAGAGTGTGGCTGTGAAAGGAAGACTCCATGTGTGCTACAGTTACAGAGACTAGTATAATTACTGTGTTGAAATCTGTTGCCAGGATATGACTAGTGAAGACTGTGAACCCTAGTGCGTGTGTGTGTGCGTAACAGCAAACTGTGAAGTGAGTATATCAGCAATAGCAATGTATTATTTCTAGTTCTGTGTGGCATGTACAAATGGTCAATAAATTCATTATCCAATCCATACCCCCAAATATGTGAAAATATGCTTTTTTTGAAGTGTATTATTCAAAATTACATCTTGAAAGGACAAAAAATTTGAATAGCTAATTTTAAACATGCAATATACATTCTGTGGTTCTGTTTTGGATAGTCTCTGCATCTATGCAGTTTTTCCAAATATACTAAACTTCCTGTTTTTACATGAACCTGCAGACAGCATGACACAAACACCTTTGTTTACAAGCTCTCTTAATCATACTCAAGTATAGCGCTATCACCAATCTACCCACTCACAAATCACTGGGACATGCTCCATTCTCGTCCTCATACTTTGTTGAACTCTTTTGTCTTTGTACTCCCAACTGAACTTAGTTATCGTGGGAACCTCCTGTAATTCTTCAGCACGGACCCCATGGAAAACAACATGCCATGTATTATCAAGAATGCCACTGGCCAGCAAGAGATGTCATATTATTCCATATTTTGTTGTATATATAACCCAGAAATGGGCTATTTACCAAGAATCTGTCTCCATGGGAATGTGTTTATCGAGCCGTTGCCTAGCAGTGGATCTATATATCACAATATTTTAGCTTCAGTTCTTATCTGGGAGTCTTCCAAGACAACACTGTGGACTGACAGACCAAAGACTTTGGATATATATACCATGACACCATCAGAAATCCAACTGCCCTCTGCTCTACTGGTTAGTACTTTAATGGCACCTGGCTGGAAAACAATTGGTAACATTGCAAGTGGTGGCCGCGAGAACTATCATGTGCCAAGTGAACATAAGTGCACTGGAATGTGTTTTTGAATAATTTTACAAAAATGGTAATTTTCTTTGAAATTTCTGCCACATGTATGAGAATTCCAGATACCTGGATACTAGATAACCATGTATTTACAGTATGCAGAAAGTGGCCAACCATGAGCAAACTGACACACATGGGACAACTGAGTAGTGGTTGTAAAATATCTTGGGAGAGGTTGATGGAACCTGTGGGAAAGAGAGGTTTGCACACTTGCAACAAAAATACAACCTGTGTCACCTGTAGTGTAAACTGTGATACTTCTCTTGTACTTCCTAGCTGTGTGTGAAGCAGGACAACATGAGTGATTCTGCTACCAAAATGAAATAAACTGGAAAATTATGACATGAAAAACTCAAAATAATCATAAAAGCTAACTAAAGGAAAAGTGGAGGACAGAAGCTATGGAAGCATGTGGAATTCTGCAATCAGCACTCTCAACAGAGCTACGAAATCAGGATGCACTTCAAACACTAAGCCACAAAAGGTACAAAAATTGCTAAATGGAAGCAAATCTGAAAAGCATAACATATGAACTGAGGAGATGAATTATTTTAATTATTCTGTAGTACACCTACTGAAGGCCTACCACAGTGCCCGCAGTCTAGGGCAGTGGTTCCCAACCTGTGGTCTGCGGACCCCCGGGGGTCTGCGAGTAATTCAAAAGGGGTCCGCGGGATAGTTTATTTTCATTAAACTTTATCTTATCATGTTCCTCACACCTGGGATATTTGCAATGTATATCTCTGGCTCTTGAGGCCCATGGTTGAAGTAAAATTTAATGGGACTGTTGGTACCAAAACGGTGCCTTCCCTTTGTAAAGCAGAGGGGAATAACCAATGATTTGCGTACCTTTTTCCAAGAGCATTTTCTTTTGGTCCGCCCATTGCATCTCAGACCTGTGTTTCAGGGCAGACTGTTGTCCTTACCTGCTGTCTGACCAGTCTCCCCTTCCCCACCAAATCCATCCCTCTTTGGTTAGGAATAAAGCTGGGACCGGTGACCACGTTTCTTATTCATTTCAGTGGCAGAGTGAACAACCTGTGTGTCTTTAGTTTTTGTGCAGTGAATTTTTATATTATTATACAAGTGTGTTTTTCTCAGTTTAATATACATTTTTTCTACTTTTGTTCAAATAATTGAGTTCACAATGAAACTTCTGATTTTCAGTTTGTCCACAATCTTATTTAGATATGGATCGGTGGTTAAAGTGTGGATCGTTGATTAGGTGAGTGTTAAATTCATAATATTAGGCCTAATTGATATGTTCATGATCTTCTGAATAAGTTCCATTTATAACAGCATTTCATTGTCATAAATGACATATTTAGTGTTGTAAAATTGTACGTCACTGCTTTACTTTTATGATATGTAAAATATAAAATTTTCCATTTTGGGTTTTAAGGGGGCCGTGGTCAATTAACATTTGGTACAGGGGGTCCACGGCATCCGAAAGGTTGGGAAACACTAGTCTAGGGTATGCCCTAGACTGTGCGGGCACTATGATAGGCCTTTGCTTGCTTGAACACTGTGATCATGGATTTCAATGCCACTCAAGGCATGGATGTCTGTTAGGACGCGGCATTGTGATGGACTGATCCCCCATCCAAGGAGTCCTACCATCTAAGATTAAGAAACTGAAGAGACACGAAGTGTTTCACAGATGCTCTATGGTCCAAGTGGGAGCAACAGAGGAAGAGGAGGAAATGAGAATGACACCTACTGATGGCTTTGCATTTTAGGAGAAAAAGTCAATGACAGTGCACTAAAATGGGAACTAAGCATAAATGTTCAAATGGCTAGCTATAAAGGCTGGATGGTTCTGTGGTTTATTTCATGGTGCTGTCAGCATCTCACGCGGTATAGTGTCAAATGTTAGGATCAGGAGTGAATAACGAATTGGAGGCGATTTGAATGGAAGCAGTCACGGCCTAATTGAAATACTATTCTGACATTTAATTAGAGAGACCAAGGAAAACCATGGAAAACTCTGTCAGGGTAGCAAGCGTCACAGGCGAAATTCAAACTGAGCACCTCCCGAATACAAATCTTGAGAGTCACTGCAATGATTAACATATCGTGACTGAGAACAATGAACATTCTTCTGTAGACTTTAGACCTGAAAGTCAGCATCAAATTTGGTATCACTATTTAACATGCCACGGAACACTGATGAAACTACACTGTTTTAAAATACTCAATCCATCAAACACAGCACTGGCAAATAGAGGGAAGTTGTGCCACAGAGAAAAGAAGCACAAGAATGAGCCAACTTCAGTACTCTGTTGTGATGGAGAAGAGAGTGACAAGTTACAACCAATGATAATGGGTAAGTCTGAAAAACTACACTGTATAAAAAATAACAAATGTCCATGTGAATAAAGTGTTATCCAAACTGACAAGTAACTACGAAGACACACAACCAACAGGTGAAAGGCTCAGAAAGTAGAATGGCATGCAAGAACAGGAAATCTCTGTTGCTGCTTACCAACATGCAGCACATACTCATGAAGATCTTCAACTGAAGTGTGTCTGAGTTTTGTGTTTACACTCAAATACCACAAATTACTTCAAGCCTCTGGATCAGCATACAATCCATTCTGTGAAATGTGCATACCAGAAGAACATGGTCTGTTACTATGTAAGATTTGAGGTTTTCACGGCAGCGACTATGAAGAAAGTGGTCTTCTGGGATGTGGTGTTAACTGACGTTTCGGAGGAACGTATCGCCTCCATCTTCAGGGTAGAAGGAAAAATAAGAAAATCCACAAGTGAAGAGACCATGAGAACTGGTCTCTGCAAGTCATGGAAGCCTCTAATCTCTTCCCTAAAAATCCCCCGGGGACATGATGCCAGATCCACAAGGCTACACAGGCCATGACCCACTAACATAGCAACCGCACAAGCTTAAGGGTTAGTGCCCTCCCTTTAACCTTGCCTTTCTCTCCCCCGACACAATATCATATACAAACCCTGTTCCTGTCCCAGCCCCTTCACCCCTCCCACTCCACTGATTTCACATGTAGACTTGCCCCCCCCTTCCTTCCTTCACTGCTTTCACATAGCTGTGTTTATTTCCAACAACAGTCTGCTTGTACCAGTTCTCACGGTCTCTTCGCTTGCAGATTTTCTTATTTTTCTTTCTACCCTGAAGATGGAGGCGATACGTTCCTCCGAAACGTCGGTTAACACATCTACATGGTGCCACATCCCAGAAGACTGCTTTCTTCATGGTCTGTTACTATTTGAGGCTAATCATTAGAAATGTCGCCATAACTGAAATTATGGATCAAAACACAATGCAGTGAGAAATGCTGGTAAGTTGCAACTCCACCTCAAGTACAGTTATCCAAAGTTATTTAATCAAAGGGGGTTTTGGTACAACGAAATATTTGCTAACAAGGATGAGGGTACATGAACTGTCAAATTTAATCTCACAATTTCATCAACTCCATCACTGCAGACAATCTTAAACTGTTCAAAGACAATCACGTTGAAAAAACATGGTCACTCACGACTTCATGTGTGGAATAAATGAGTGCAAAGGGTAGGAGGAAAGTAGAGAATGAGCCGGTAGTTCTTTCATGCCTGATAAAAAAAGCTCTTACAGGTTTATGAATACTGGTCTCCACATAACACGTAGGCCTGAAGACATTTCAAGCAGTGACATAAAAGCTATAGACACAATGCAAAATACTGTTTCCAAGACATACCTCGACTTCTTTAAATGAATCTTATTTTTTTTTTACAGAAGGGCATTATAAGATCAGTGGTATAAATTAATATTTATACCAAGTTTGCAATACTGAGAGAAGTTATAGCATTTATAGTAAAAAAATATTTCTCTCTCCTTTAGAGACAAGGCTTAAGATGTTGGCATCGCTACACAATACTAGGCTTTGCAGCCAAGTCTGTGGTGAAACTGCATAATTTAAATCTATTTATTTTAAGGTTTGTATTTTTCAGTCAAAAGAATTCAACTATTGATACCTTATGGAATTCTAATATCCTGGAATTAAAACATTATCTTCCAGAAGGGCATAAAACAATTCTTGAAGTGCAAAACTGAAATCCAATGTTACACATAAATTAGAAAGATTCTTAAACTAACTGCAACCAAATTGTTTGGATCTAAGTTGTCGTCTTTTTCAACCATAAAATTATGATTTTTGTTGCCTTTAATTCCATTTTAAGCCAAAAGCCTGAAGGTGACAGGAACACTGCTGCCTAAATTCAAAATAATATTGGAATTATATTACAAAACTTACTTTCTGATGTTTGGTGACAAGCTCCCCAGATGGATTCCAGACTGTACAGGTGTTATACAACTTATCACCATCTTTTTCAGGGATTGAGCCAGCAACAAGGTATATTTGGTGCTCCTTAGCTGCCTGAGACAGAGAACTACTTGTTTGTCCTGATGGGATTAGCTCTGCATACTTTGGGAAAAATTCTGAAATGTTTTAATACAGCATCATAATAATAATCACCACTGACATGACTTGGACAGGAAACCCAATTATAATTAATGTTTGCGAAATAAGTAAACTAAATAATAAGATGATTAAAAAAAATAAAATTTCAACAAAAAGTTCTGGTAAGTGCTAATCAACCATTTTCCTTTGATAGAACACAGACCACATAGAAAACCATGCCTTCTATTTTTTAATGCAGCACAAATGTGTTTACTGAGCCGATGCCTGCCAACATAAGGAGGATATATAGTCCAGTACAGTAAATTGTTGCTGGCCTTTGCCAGCATAGTGATTCTTGCTTCTGAGTCCCACAGGACTCATGACTATATTTCACTACATGATGGCTCTGGGAGCCTATAGACTGCCATTTTGAAAGGAAGGGGTGGAGAAGTAAAGCTATACTTGCAACAGGTCATAGTAGGCCTATATGTGAGACATCAAGGCTTCCACATTTTTAGACCATCAGTTCACAGATGGTGGTGAGGCTGTCAGCCTTATGCACCAGCCACCCTTTACACCCAGGAAGATTCCTGGTACTCATTTCTGTGAGAGGCTGAGTCGATCCCAGGTCCACAGTATGGATGGAAGGATTAGGTCAATTGAAAAATAGGGTTTGAGTCACAGTGGTATGGAGGAAATCATAACACAGGACAACTTCCTGCAAAATAACATTCACAGTATAAAACAGGTTGTGGTTTGTTCAATCTTACAGTTTGCAGTCCATTCCATGTTCACTCAGGATCAACAGTACTTCCCCCCTCCCTTTTGAGCCATGTTATACTATCGGCCTTACAAGATGGAGTGTACTATGTGCTAAGGTGCATCTACAACTATACTATGAAATGCAATATTGGGAATAAGCCTTTCATACAACCATTTCTTACACTTTGCACTTTTTATGACATCATGGTAGCCTTCCAATTTCAATTTTCAATCATAATCAATTCTGCCCCACCTATGAACCTTACTGCGCTTTGTCCTGCAAAGTTGGCATTTATTTGTTTGGCTCATACTATTCTAAACATTTTCCATGCACAACCTAGTCTTCAATATCACTCAACGAATTCTTTTAGCACATTTAATTTTTCTGGCACTGAAACTTTCTCCCACCTTTTTCCCATTGGCAATGTCCCTACATGTTTTCCATTGACTGTTCATTTTTACCAACTGCTTTTGATACAATTGCAATTGCTCTTTCAGAGGAACAGTAAGTGCCCTTTCTTTTCTTTTCTTCTGCATAACAAAAGTGCATTAAAAATAAACCTTTTCTCTCCTGAGTAAGTTACATTTTGCGAAGTTTCTCTTTACTGCGAGGTTTCCATTGTGTGAACCTTACTCCTACACCATTCTTTCACACTGGACACCAGAACCAATACAAGGCAGGACATATAAACCAAACATAACATCAACCATCTGCAGGAGTTATGAAAACAATCTAAAATGCCACATGTATGAACCTTTACACCTATAGCCATGTATAACCTAACAATCAGGCAATAAAACCAGTGTTCAATTAAAGAGAAGATAAAATCACAGTCAGATTCTAAACAGGACAACCACAGATACAGTAAAGTCAATGATCATGATCATTATCATTTTATTATCATTCAACAATCCATACATACAGGTATTACAACCATTTGAATAAGGAGACTGTCAGTTTTACATCTAATTCTTGTGCATATCTTTACAGTATACACTGTCCCACCCTAATATAGGGGGTTTGTCGTCTGAATAATATTATCTAGATCTAGTTACCATTAATTTCATTGTCTTTACACAAATACAACAAATTAATCAGCTACATATTACATTTACACACTTGATGAATCAAAAGACAGAAATTCATCTACAGAAGAAAAGGAATGTTTCAGCAAAAAAGATTTTAATTCCTTTTAAATGAGTTAAAGTTTTCCCTTTGTTTTATTTGATTGGGGACCTTATTATACAAACTAATTCCCGTATTTATGACACTCCTCTTAAAAAGAGCTGTATTACAGTGCTGTACATGAAAATTTAATTTTCTTCATGTGTTATAATTATGAATATCCGAATTTATTGCCATAAAAGCCTTGTATTTTTTGACAAAGCATGTCACCTCCAATATATACAGAGAAGGCAATGTTAAAACATTGTAATCTTTAAAAATCTGTCTACATGACGTGCGACTACTAATACCACTAATCACTCGAAGAACCCGCTTTTGCAATTTAAAAATATTTAAAAATGCTTTTACTTTCCCCATCCCCACCCCACAATAAGATACCATTTCTCATACATGACTCAAAATTTGAGAAATAAATAATATTTATCATATATGGACTCATTATTTCTTTTAATATTTTCACCATATAAATTATTTTGCATAGCTTTGCTTTTAGAAATTGAGCATGAGCGCACCATTTTAGGGTTTCTGTCATGTGAATTCCAAGAAATCTCAGTTCTGACTGATATACTATTTCTGTATGAATGATAGGAACAACGTGGTCTATCAACATTTAAAATCATAAACTAAGACAAAGAAAGACATAACTATATACAGAACAAATACAGAGCATTAAAATTCAAGTAGATAAAATTTCCTAAATACAAAAGTGGACATAACAGCAAATAAATTAATACTGGTAAGTATTAAATGAATGAGACACCTGTACAGTACCAACATAAAATCGAAACATTCCCATATAATCTGAACTGGATAGAGTTGTAACTTGCTATCTTCATTTTTAATGATGGGAGAACAGATGGGAAGCATATCTATGAACTTTTAGACCTTATCTTCATAAATTTGTTTAAATCACATTCATTAAGTAATTTCAAACCCTGTCCAGAAAAACTTTTTCAGGAATAAACTGGAGGCTTTCTCTTTCACACAGGACAGAGGATTTCTTGTTCATGGTCTGAGAGCTGTACCTGAAATTCTGACTGCTAGAAGTTCAACAACCTTGAAGATATAACACCGCATGGTCAGTTGAAAGTCACCAGATGCTTCAGAGGAACATATCGCCTCCATCTTCAGGATCGAAGAATTAGCCGAGCAAGAAAGAAGCATGAAACCAGGTGGCAAGCATGGAGGTGACATGTTCCTCCAAAAAATGTTGGTTGATTTTTAACGAACTACAGTAGAACTTGGTTATAACGTCATCAAAGGGACCCAAAAATAGTGTCTTTATAAACGAATGTCGTCGTAACCGAAATGGGCACTTCCACAGTAGCCTTATATTAGTCACGTAAAAATCTACCAAAAACCGAGTTAAAATGTTGCATTTTTTAGTGAAATACGTAGTTAAGTACAGACTAACGTAACATTAACGTGGAGTTGCCCAAATGTGTAATACATCAGCTTTTTTCCTTCCATTTTCTATTTCACGAATCACTTTAACTTTCTCTTCAATGCTTAAAACTTTCCTTTCCATTGCCATGTTTTCGCTACTGCACTTCTCTGGGTTTAGGCAGGAACAATATAGGGTAAGTAGACAATGTGAGGTCCTGTTAGATGAGGTTCTAGGAAAGGAATGCAGTTAACAACCTGCCGCGTCCTCTTGCACTATTCACGCAGTCCCACCCCACACCCTTGTTTTCGCATAAAACCCACGCTCCTCTTGCAGCCCGCGGTCGTATTCTTCCAGGACAGTCACGTCAGCAAGTAGAGAAAGTGAGGGTGGGCAGACACATCGAACTTTCCCACGATATCAGAGAAATTCAGGAATGAAAATGACGTTACATACGAGGTTGATGCATTTGTGCATGTCGTACTAAGCAAGGTATAAAAACAGTTGCTTTATGAGGAATTAGTTCATACCATTGAATATTTGACACAATAGACAAGGTGCCGCAGAAACCGATGTTGCTATAACCAAGTTTTACTGTATATTGAAGTTAAAAGTGGAACCGGTAGATATATTGATTATGCAAGTGTACATGCCAACATCAGAGTATGAGGATGATGAAGTGGAAAAAGTGTATGACACAATTGAAGAAATTCTTCGGGAAGATGGAAGAGGTGACACAAACAGCATCATATTGGGAGACTGGAATAGCATTTTGGAGATGAACCATATCAGAATATTGTGGGATCACATGGACTAGGAAGACGGAATCACAGGGGTCAAATGCTTATTGACTTTTGTGAACAAAATGGACTGATTGTCACCAACACTTGGTTCAAGAAGCCAAAGAGAAGAATTTACACATGGAAGGCACCTGGGGATTGGAGGAGGCATCAGCTGGACTACATCCTCGTGAAACATTGATTCAGAAACAGTGTGAAGGATGTGAAGACGCTGCCTGGGGCAGATATTGACTCTGACCACAACTTACTGGTTGCCAAGTTCCGAACCAGGTTGAAGAAAATTATAAGATTTCAAAAGCGCAGACCTACATGGGATTTGGAGAAATTATATGCTCACAGACAAAGCGTGCAGGAGACCCTAGAAGAGAAACTCAGTGCAATTGAAAGTGAAAGCGGAAATGCTGAAGTGCAGTGGAACAACATAAAATAATGCATGTTAGATACTCTTAGTGAATTGGTTGGTAAAGTTTAGAAGATAGCAAGAAAACCATGGGTTACACAGGAGATGATAAGTAAAATGGATGAGCGAAAGAAATGGAAGAATGTAAACAATGAAGAAGGCAGGAGGAAATACAGGAGACTGAGGAATGAATTGAAAAGAGCCACGGACAGGGCCAAAAAGGAATATCTTGAGAAGATATGCAATGAGATTATAGAATTTCAAAGGACAGGACGTTCTGATGTGATGTAATGAAGACAAAAGAACTAGGATGGAAAGAGAACCATGGGATTCAAAATATTGGCATCGAAGACTCCCAGGGGAATAGAATAAATCAGAGGCAAGTGCTGAAAATTGGGGAAAATTATATTACAGAACTATATGATCAACCTAATCGGCCAGAAACCTTGGAAGTGGAACCGGAAGAATAAGTAGATACAGAAGAGAAAGGACCATATATTTTAAAAGTGAGGTGGAAAAAGCTATCAAGGACATGAGGAATGGAAGGGCTACAGGAGATCATGATGTACCTGGAGATGTGCTTAAGTTACTGGGAGAAGGTGGTTTGAAAACACTGACAAAACTAAT